TCGATGACTGGTTGGACGTGATTGATTCAAGTACACAATACTGTGGGGACTATTTTCCTCCGTGCTACCAAAACTCTCACCGCTCCATCACAAGTTGTTGATCCGGCTCGTGGGCTTTAAAGGGCGGCCACACTGCTAAGTTGACACCGGGGCTGTGTAGTCAGCTGCTGTCTCCTGCTGTTCAACTCGGCTCAGTTCAGTGAGGCCTGTACAGAGCAGCGCTCACTCTCACACAAGTCCGTCTTTAAACGCAACACGAACAAACAGGCTAAAAAAAAACCTGCAGGAGGCGGGAAGGAAAGGGGTGGGCAGTAGTGATTTGCGGATCGATCCTGAAATATCGATACTTCCGATTCTGGATCTTTATGCTCTGAAATCGATTCTGAAATCAAAATATCGATACTTTTGATACTTACGCATTCTGAGATGAGGTGTATCCTAAACAGAAACATGGTGAAAAGTATCCAAATTATTGAGATGTTGTCTAAGTGACGCTCGGTTGGTGGGACTACTTCTTCTTCCGCCTGGGTGTGTGCGTCATGCTTAAGCACAGGGGCTCTACTCCGTGCTCTCACTCAGTCACTATTGATGGGAATTTCGGCTCTTTTTTGGAGAACCGGTTCTTTTGGCTCGGTTCACTGAAAAAATCCGACTCTTTCGGGTCCCAAATGGCTCCTCAGATTATTTATTTTATTTTTTTATTTATTTTTGTTTTACAAATAACATGTTTTCAGAGTTTGAAACATTGTTTTGACATATTTTATATGATTGTGTTCTCAAGGTTTTCTATTGTTGTGTTGACTGTATAGTAAATGAGGCAGCTACCTCGGTACACTCCAGAGTTTTAAATAAATAAATAAATAAAAAACTCTGCCTTGGATTCCTAAAGACAAATGATAAAATATTGGTATCGATATCGGTATCGGCGATACCAGCCCGAATTTTACTCGGTATCGGATCGGAAAGGAAATTGGTGGTATCGAACATCACTAGTGGGCAGTGTGACCCGGTGACAGCCGCTGTTCTCCCGGAATATCACTCACCAGGGGCTCACACATTTCTTTTCAGGGATTGGCCGATGTAAAAAGAAGATAACCCACGTTTTATTTTCTTTTTACACCAGTTGTTATGTTATTAATAACGTCTATCAACTGCATATGTGTCGAGCTAAAGGCCCGCGGCCCAAATGCCCGCCATTTTGTTTTGCCCGGAGGAGCTTAACAGGTTTTTAATTGTCTCCTTATATGCAGCTTAGTTTCTTAACTTCAATTATTGAAGTGTTAATGTTTATTAAAATCAATATTTTTTTTCAACGTACAATATTTGTAACTTGGATAAACAGCAATAATTGCAGAAATATATATTAATATGTTATACAGTTTTACAGTCTTACAGTTACAACCGTCCCTTCAACGGCAACTATATTGCTGCTCCAAGGGCAACTTTATTGTTTCTTGTGGCCCCCCTGTGAAAATGAGTTTGTTTGGTAACAATATACGGTTAAAAGGGTTTATGTTTATTGGCTTTTTTTGTATATGTGGTTGAAAATACATGTTTGCATGTATAATGTTTACATGTAAAAAAAGTGTAAAATTACCCCATATCGGTTTATCAAGTTATTTAGTTTTAGTAGTTTTATAAACTTTATCCAACTGTCCTTAACTGTTATGTGAACTATAAGTTTTAAAGGTGACTCAGTGATACTGGGGAAAGGAGATTGATTATTGTGTCCTTGCTTTACGAAAATTAAAAAATTCTAATTTACGGATTCAATCCCGGGTGATGACTAATGGTGTTTGTGTTTTGTGTTTTCTCCAGGTTTCTCCGTTTCTTTCGCAGTCCAGAAACATGCAGGACTACATTTAATAGACACCCTGTTTGGACCACAAGGATAAATGCGAATGTGATCCTGAAAAGAATGACGTGGTAGGAGATAAATGTAATATTATTATTATTATTTATTCACCCTTTACACATTGCATATCGAAATCAAACAATCTTAATACCCTCTGTTTCAGCCTTTTGTCTAATGTGAGCAGTGGTAACCAGATTTGAACCCACCCGTGACCGGACATTGAACTCACTGTTGGGTAATGTAACCAGATCAAAGCATCTCCTCCACTCACGTGACACTAAACTTGACTGACTCACTTTTAAATCGAATCAGCTTGCAACAAAGTCCAGTATGCAACACTTAATCAATAAGAGGATCCCAAATTCTGTTTTCTAAAGAGGGAGCTTGTCTGACAGCTGGAGTGTGAAACTCCACCTGTCAGACAAGTGTGAAACTCCACCTGTCAGACTTGGACCAAAATGAAATAGCTTCTTTATTTATATAAAAGAACCAAAAGGTGAACAATTTCTTTCTGCGGGAATAAAACTTGAATTTAAATTTTATCTTTAGAGAAACACTCAAATACTCAATAAGCCAATTGCATACCGGGTGCTCATCTGCGTTCAGAAACAAATGTTGAGGACCAGCTGCAGAAGTTAAAATTTAAATGTGCTCACAAGTGCGAGAAAAAAAAAAAGATTACCTAAATGTCATCAACTATCACGTCATCTTCAGTTTGCAAGAACGGCCCTGCTGTTACACAGCTAGCGTATGGGGCTGAAATAGTGAACAGCACAGTTAAAACAACAGGAGCCTTTTATAGGGTTTCTTTTATCTTTATTTTCTATTTTTTTTAATTAAGTATTTTCAAAAAAACAACGGAATGAAGAAAAAAGTAAGATTTGTATATTATATTATATAAATAAAAAATTGAAATAAGATGTGATTAACTAAATAGATATGTATTTAAAATACTAAATATGCTGACATAGATCCTATTAATGATAAATAACAACAACAGTCAGGTCTGGATCAGATCTGAAGGTAAAGGAACCCTGCAATACCCCCGTTTCCCCAATAGATGCCGTAGAAAATGATAAAAGCGTTTTAGCATTTTAGCCTTTATGCATGACTTTTACATGTCATTTATCTTAGTTCACATGAACACTTCGTCTATCTGCCCCTGACGCGGCCCCCCTGTCAAATTTAAGGACATTTGTAGCCTGCCAGTCAAAACGTTTGCCCGCGCCTGTGTTAGACCTTATACTTCTTTTACTTACAACTGAATGTGAATCCAAGGTGGCGCTTTGGCCCAGAGGCAACGTCTCTGTCATTGGTGTGGAACCCCATGGTTCACCTCCTGGGCAAGATCAAATCCCGCTTAGGGCGGTTGGTACCTTCCAGTGGACTCACCACCCGCAGGAAGGTTCAGGGGTTTGGTATAGTGCAGTGTGATTTGGGTGGCGACTCCTGGCCCTGCAACGCAGTAGAGGATGAAATGTGAATCCAGAGACTGGCTTTAGATTCTGATTTAGATGACATTTTAGAAAGTACTCTACGGTTTGTAGTCCACAGGATTTTTTTTTTGTACCCTTTGAAGAGGACTGCTGTCTAGTAATGAATAGATATGGATGGATTACAAAAGATAGCCAATATTTGACACTGACGTGTTGACAGTAAACCATCCCCATGGACATTATGAATTATAAATGCGTTGCTCCATGTGTTGGTAAAGGGACAGCCAGAAATATAACCACGATTTTTCTCCTATGCTGTTTCACTGCAACATAACCAAGCGAACCGCATCAGAGAATCCACCCCCACCACTAATTATCAAGCCAGAGACATTTCTGCTCATGTGATTATAATGCTGTATAAATTGCTCCCTTTGGCTCAGTTGAACTCCAGTCAACAGAACCACTGCTGCTGGTTGGTTCGGTCAGAGATTATCTCTCAGAAATGAAGGAGGGAGTTTGTAGTTTACCCCATGCCCACCATTGGTGTCGGTCGTTTTATTATCGGCCCCAATGCAGGACACAGCAGATACATTTATATATATATACTGTATGTGTATGTATGTGTATGAGAGGGTGTGTGTGTGTGTGTGTGTGTGAGTGTCCGAGCGAGTAATTCATTTTCGTAGACAACAACAACAGCAGGGACATTTTTCTCTCGGAGTTCCATGCACAAATTGGTGTTTTATGCGTTTGTGAGCAGTGTTTTATAATCCATAAAACACAGCAGTCAGAACTTTTTAATTGACTGACCAAACTCGTTAAACCGCTGAAATCACACAATATCATTTTAAGTACATTCACGCAGGTAGTGGACTTCTGGCAATTACGTAAACGAATGAACTAAAACGAGAACGAGAAATGTTTATATTTTTGTCAGCTTTTATTAATGTGTACAGAATACAGGACCTTTTGAACTGAACCCAAACAGTTAAGAAAAATACTTCGTTGTTCTTTCCTGTTACCACAGTATCCTCTTCTAAGACGTTGTTTCCCCACATCTGAACTGCAGAGTCCCTCATTATAAACCCGATCTGGAAAAACAATTATAATTGGAGTAATAGGGGGCGTCAAATCATACTCGGGCTATTTGACCGTACCACTTTAAATAGAAATCCAAGTGGAAACGACAATATTGCTTGACCTTCTAAAGAGGTTGGTAATAAAACAACTCATTTTAATGCTATACACTAATAAACAGATGATGAAACAGAAACGACAATATTGCTTGACCTTCTAACTCATTTTAATGCTACACTAATAAACAGATGATGAAACGTGGCAGTCAGTGGACATTTGACTGAATGAAAACTCGGTGTTTCACTGACAGTTAGCCTGATAGAGGGCTACCTGAGCTGCTGCATACTAATAGAAATCGGTGTTGGCCACTCTGCCCGTCTTTGGGCTTCAGATTTTGACTTTCATTTTGATCTAGACAATTTTCAACCGACAGGGAATTTTGGAGAGCTGGATAATTGAGGCTAATTGCTAAAAAGTAAATATTCGCATGGCCAAAAACATATCAGTGTTTTTTTTTTTGTAAGCAGTTTTTAACTTTTAAAGCACAATTGGTAGGAAATTAGCACTTGACTTCCTGTGGAGGAGGAGGAGCTAATACGTCTCTATCATTTGGAGTGGCCATTGTAATCCTCTTTACCCCCAGCAGATTATGATCAAGCTCCTTCAGCTCCTGGTCTCCTGGCCACACACCCATTGTAACCCCACTCCACCCTCACTCCGGTGTTATACTACACTTACCAATTCCATTGTTGCCTAGCAACTGGCTGACAGATTTCAGTCGGGGCTGCACATGTTGGAGAGTAACAGTGTTTACAAATGCATCAGTGTGTGTGCACGCATGTACGTATGTATGAATTAGTGAAACCATTTATGTATGTTTGTGTGTGTCTGTACATAAGGTCAAGTCGAGCCGTGTTATTGCCTAAGGTCCGTTTTGATTTAATGACTTGGACTACACAGATTTGCCAAAAGGTGGTAGAGGCGCATTATTATTAATTTATTTAAAAAAAAAAAGTAATAATAATAAGAGGGACTTGTTAACCCACTAATTGCCAGTTCCTTATTGGAGTCAGTGCCATGACCAGTGCCGGTTTGCCACCAATCCAAGGGGTACACTGAATATGCCCCCAAGTGGCAAGGTCATGTTCCATTATACACAAAACAGTAAAAAGGTAAAGTAGGCTAAATGATTTTATATGAAATTTTATTTCAACTTCATCAGTCATTATAAAATAGCATGAGTGTTAAATAAAATAATATTATTTGGTAAGATTTTAGCTAGCTGAAAAAACAGCTTATTGTTAATTTTTTTTTTTTTTTTTTGGGGTATCTTCGTACTAGTTTTGGTTTTTGGCTAGCATCAAACTGGTTTTTATCCGATTCCAAACTTGTTTCTGGTGAAGTACAAACTCCCGTTTGGCAAAATGCGCACAGAATTTATAATTTATTAAACTTGTTTCTGGTGAAGTACAAACTCCTGTTTGGCAAAATGCACACAGAATTTATAACTTATTATATATGTCTTACATTACATTACACTTGTTTTTTTTCGCTAAGTTCACACTGCTTACGAGGTATCTTTGAATTTGTCTTTGGGTAATTTCAAACTAATTTTGGCTAACCCGAGATAGTTTTGTTTTGGTTTTTAGTTACAAACATCCAAACGCTAACTTCACACTGTTTATAGGCTAACTGCTCAGTTGTTTATAGTAGTACTAAAACAACTACTTTTACCTTCAAAATTAAAAAAAAAAATCATTATATACCGTACTATGCAAAACCTTTAGGCGAGTGTATACATTCCCCGAATATCTCCCCCCCTCTCTCTGTCACTACTATATATATAGTATATATATATATATGTATATATATATAGTATATATATAGTATATATATAGTATATATATATATATGTATATATATATAGTATATATATATATATATTTAGACATATACATATATATAGACATATACATATATATAGACATATACATATATATAGACATAGCTACATAAAAGTTATACCTATCCTCTATTTTACTTCTTCTTGTCCTGTCTTCCAACATTTATTGTTAAATGTGTCACATTTAAGGACAATATGATTGGGAGTTTTAAATAGCCAGGTGCTCAGATATGGAGGTAAAATTGTGGGAGGAAAGGATGAGGATTTAGCAGTCATGTTTTTGTCAAGTTGAATTTCTACAGAGCATTCTCTGAAATGCTATAACCAACTGCTCTTTTTCAGAGATAGCCCAGAGGAATTATTTGAGGGAGCATGTGGGAGGGAAAGCGGAGGCTAATCTGTGATATTTAAAATCAATATCTCAACAGAGCGCGCGTAATGCCACTTTCTTCTGCAGTGCTTTTTTTCCAGATGATTTGAGTCATCTAATCTGGGTATCTTTCACGTGCCGCTCTCACATCTGGTCGTTGAAAAGAAGGCAATCTAAAAATGTGTCAAATTATCATAATAACTCTCAGTCCCTGATACATCTGTCAACTCACCTCCTCTTTTTTTTTTTCTTTTCTCTAGTCTCATGCCCTTCTGTGTTTTCATCTCTCTTCACTTTTGTATTTAATTTAACACTGCGTCACAGACACTCTGAAACAGAGCGCCCTGTGACATAACAGCATTTTTTTTTTCCCCTTCATGTTTATAGGCTTTAAAATGAACATGACACACACCAGTCTGCTTGACATTGCCTCTGTCTTTCATTGTGTG